CTGTCTGTCTGTCTGTCTATCTATCTATCTATCTATCTATCTATCTATCTATCTATCTATCTATCTATCTATCTATCTATCTATCATCTATCTGTATCATGTACCTAAAAATAACACAAACTCCTAAACATTCACTATAGCAAAATGCAAGTAATGTCTTCGATTCTGATTCTAGACTATCTCTTATTTCAGAATTTGCAACAAAAAAGAAAAGAAAAGAAAAAAAGTAGAATTTAAGAGAAGAGTTTAATTTAAGGGTTCCCTATAAGGAACTCTGCATCAGTACAAGGAAAACCAGTTCAACCATTTCTCTTACGCAAGAGAACTGCCCAGTAGCTTCTGCATCCACTGCGGTTCACCAGAAGTGCCCCTTCAGATCTCGTTTGGTTAACCAGGCAGGTTTTAAAATCAATTGTTTCACAAGAAAGCTCAAGTACTGGGATGGTCAGGTATGCAGTCAGGGGGAGCACCTGCAACGAGATCAAATGCCGAAGATTTTGAGGGGACCATGAAAAATATTTTGAGGAGGCTAAGGTCTTCCTTGGCTGGAAAAAGAAATATTCTAGTACCTATCTAAGGCGGGATCTGGGTGTGATCTTTGTGGGCAAGGGCATCTCGAAGAAACCATGATGGCATGGAGGTCACGCATATCGTGACGTCATCATGCCACGCCACAAATTAAATGAAGAAAGTCTCTGAAAACATGGCTCTCCTTCCATGGCTTTGGGGCAAGATGGTAGCTAAGCTCTATAGGACATGAACTTCAATTTCCAGAATTCTATAGCCAGCTTTCTGGAAGTTTGAAGACCACATGTCTGAAAGTTGCCAAGGTTGAGAAACACTGTTCTAAGATTTGTTTTTCATTTTTTTAATTCTTCCTACCTTTTTAAAGAATAAGGCAACCAAATTGTTTGGAATAAGGTGTATTCTAAATTGTATTTAAACAACCAACCAACAAATGGATATTTTGCTTCACTTGCACATATGCATTATGTGCAATAATTGTTACACACCCCAGTGGCTGGTTTTGTTTCCAAAACCATTTCATGCATCTGATGAATGGACTTGCACCTCACAAAGCTTAAGCCTTTTAATAAAACATGATAGTTGGAAGAGAGTTATTAGTCTCTGCTTCAAGCAAACTAGATGAATGGCAGCAATATTTGAAACCAAAGTAAGATGCAGAAAGTATTTTCCAGAAATACATTTCTTTCAAAATCCATCCAACCCAAATACTTGGCAAAATCCAGTCGAACTATGTACAATGGCCTCTAGAATAGATATCCTCTTCTTTCATATTTCAGTAACCAATATTCTATATCAACTATTTAATATTGTACATTTATTGCCTTCAATACCAACAGTTTTCTGGATAGATGCAAGGAACATAATGAAACTGATGACATTTTGATTTTCTTTTTTAAGAAGGTAGAAAGTTCAGATTCAGCTGCTCAGTGCTGAGCAAAGGCTCCATTCTAGATATACCAAGAAAAATGGATTTATGAAAGGCTGTGGAGGAGCTGCAGCTAAAAATGGTTTTAATAGTCCATTCTGATAGAGAATATGTCCCAATTCAAGCCTTCCAAAATTTCCATGGATGGTAGCAATAGCAATAGTACTTAGACTTATATACCACTTCACAATGCTTTACAGAGACAGCCTTTTCTCCCCCAACAACCTGGGTCCTCATTTTACTGACTTCGGAAGGTTGGAAGGATGAGTCAACCTTGAGCCAGTCAGGATTGAACTGCTGGCAGTGGGCAGAGTCAGCCTGCAATACCGAATTCTACCCACTGGGCCACCCTGGCGCTGAAGATGTGCAAGAAAGTAAAATAATTGTGGGATTCACCCCAAGGGAGCCCTGTATGTCCTTCTGTTGGATTTGTCATCTGCATGAACTTGGACAAATAAAAATGACAGGCGCTATTTCCCCCCCGCTTCCGCTTACCTGCGTAGCTTTGTTGCTGTACTCGATGATAAGATCTTGTTTAAACTCCATGATTTTCTCCCCGCTGTCCTCCTGGATCACTTGAAGTCCTGATGGCAGATGGTCCTCTGGGAGATGTTGGTAAGTGAGTAACTCAAGGGTTGTGAGAAAGGACACTTTCACCTATGAAGAACCGGATATAAAGGGCAAAGCACAGAGGTAAGTTGCCAGGGTGGCTAAGAGTTAAAGAAACAGGCAACTGGATTCTAGGTAGTCCTCAACTCACAACCACAGTTGAGGCCAAAATGTTTATTGCTAAATGAGACATTTGTTCAGTGTATTTTGCTCCATTTTATGATCTTTCTTGCCACAGTGGTTAAGTGAATCACTGCAGCTGTTAAGCTAGTAACATGGTTGTTAAGTGAATCTGGCTTCCTCATCGTCTTTGCTTATCAGAAAGTCACAGAAGGGAATCATATGACCATGTGGGTCATAAATATGAACCAGTCAGTGACGTGCAGTCAGGGGAGGCAGGGCTTCACCACTGTCATCATGAAAAGAAAAAATATGTAAAAGGAAAAAGGCTGAGCTAGTTGCTGCCAGAGTCACAGCGGATGACTCTGCTTAGTGCTTAACTGTTTAAAAAAGCCTCTAAAAAGCGCCCTCTAGAGGAGGATGCAGGAGAACCACGTGCCTCATCTAGTCTGACTTTATGATCACTCGAGCAGAGTTAAGCAAGGGTTAAAAGCTGAAAAATTCCTTATGTAGAAGAGGCACACGGGACGCCTCTATGTCGGACATAGCGGCAGGGCAGCCAAAATCTGCTTTCTTTCTTTTTGCCTCACCAGCCATAAACTTCACCGCACATCACTGGAACCAGTTGCCAAAAGTCTGAATTTTGATCACATGACCATGGGGATGCCGCAATGGTTGTAAGTGTGAAAAACAGTCATAAGTCACTTTTTCAGTGCTATTGTAATTTTGAACAGTCACTAAATGAACTGTTGTAATTTGAGGACTGCCTGTATTGCTGGTTTAGCCAATTTCAATAACCGTACTGTGCAAACGGACTATGTACTTATGCACAAGCATGTTTTCCAGGGTAAATCCTTTTGACTAGAAGACCTCCTGTCCAACTCCTTGATTGGTCTGTGAAAACAGTGAGGTGATTTAAAGTTTTTATCCAAGCTACAAGGAGGCCACTGGGAGAGAAAAACAGACCATCGCAACAAGAGGATTTCTCTATGGTCACATCAGCCGTTTGAGGAGCACTGAAATGCGGGCCCATAATGGCATGGGAAAACAGCCAAAGCCTGCCAAAAACCAGGCATGCATGAGCCAGCCAGCTGGTCTTCCAGGTTTCTGGTGCTACGACGTGCATTCCAGCTTGGGCACTCGATGCTGAAAAGATTCACCATCCCATTTCAGAAGTGGTAAGACTGAAATGCATAATTTCACGCACCCTGCCCAAGAGTTTTTAAATGGGAATGGGAGTGGCGTGGCTTTGGAAAGCAAAAACATTTTCTATCCCTCCATGAAAATTCCCCAAGCGATGCCATTTTGAATTTTGGGAAATTTCAAAAGGGGGGGGGAAGTGTCCTTCCCACCTTATTTTCTTGAGGTGGAGTAAGCCCATGGTGTGACAAAATAATTTTCGCCACCAATTTCCCATGGTGCGGTCCAATTGTTTTTCCCTCATGGGCAATTAACAAGGACAACACAGTTATCATCCCTGGCTCAGATCAGGCAGCTCGTCTGGAGCTTGGGGCATGCAAAAGAACCACGAGGGTCTTCTCCTGACCTACCTTGGGGTGAAATGGACCACCAGTTGGGCTTTGGTACCAGTGCTACCTTTGCGGGCCTCAAGGATGCCACTACTTGGGGAGATGGAAAACACTTCAGGATCCTTATGTCGCTCATCTTCAGCTTTAAAATGAAATTAAGAAGTACTGGTTAAAGTTTCAACAGATATTCTTAAAAGAAAGATAATCTATCATCCTTGACTAATTCTTGGCTGCTGCCAAGAATATTTATTCATTGTGTTTTTTTTATTCCTGCCTTTATTAATTTATAAGTAACTTAGGGAAGCAAACATATCTAATACGCTTTCTTGTTTCTCCTATTTTCCCAACAACATCCCTGTGAGGTGGATATGTGTGTGTGTGTGTATATATATATGTATGTATGTATGTGTGTGTGTGTGTGTGTATATACACACACACATACATACATACACACACACACATATATACGTATGATATGCAAGAGAGCCCAAGGTTATCCAAATCACTTTTGTGCCTAAGGCGGGACTAGAACTCCCAGTCTCCTAATGATTAGCCCAAAGTCACCCAGCTGGCTTCACGCCTAAAGTAGCACTAGAATTCACCACCTCCTGGCATCGAGGCCAATACCTTCACCACATCTCCAAATTAGCTCAAATATTGTCTGTCTGTCTGTCTGTCTGTCTGTCTGTCTNCCTTCACAACTAGGCCAAACTGGGCCTCTTCTTTAGCCAGTAAATTCTCTGTCAAGTGGTCTTTCCTCTCCCCAAATGCCTTTGTGTCTTCCAAAGTGCTGGTCCCCGAGACCCTCTGCCTGGGGAGCTTAGGCCTGATGTGCTTTCTTTGTTCCAGGGGCTACGGCGTGGTTTCAATGTGCATCGGGACCGGGATGGGAGCAGCTGCGGTATTTGAATATCCGGGGAACTGAGCAGAACGTTTTGTGCAACCTGCCCTCAAGGCCTGGGAAATGACCTGTGATACGTCCTGATGTGCAGTCCGGCTTTATGACTGTTACGGAGATGAATTTGTAATCAAGGATCTTTGGCCTCCGGTCTTTTAGAAAACCTATTAAAAATAGGCCCTTTTGTATGAGTTAATCGCGAGGGTGTCCGATGGAGGTGGGTTGGGGTTGGTGGAGGGAGATGGGGGGGTACCTGAGAAACTTGACTGATCAGCAGTCTGAAAATAGATTGCCTTATCTGCAGTGCTGGGATTAATGTGCAATTGGAACAAAGTGTTTTTTCTCTCTCTCCCCTTGAATAATCCTTACTCCAACGAGTAAGTTCTAAAGTAGCCAAGGTTCTGCTTTTGGATGGAGGGGAGAATAATGATTATTAGAATCAGCTAGAAAATGGGGCTGCCAGTCCATTTGAGGACAATTTTAAAAAATCATAGCACAGCATTTATTGCTGCTGGGCTCCATTTTCAAAAATTTTCTAGGAACTCATAAAGAGCCATTGCTGGTTTGATATTTTTTTTTCCTTCTTGTCTCCTTAATTTTTTTTTAATCACACATTATTTTTGGAGATGAACTGGGATAGGTATCTTTTTTTTTTAAAGAACGTATTACTGTTACCATGAACAGGGAGAAAAATTATTTTTAAATCCTTAAAAGGAAAAGAGGCAAAATAAGCAGGTTAAGGAATCACACAATTCAGTGGTTGGTTGTAGCAAGAAATAGCTGACGATTGCTTTGCTGGTGTTCTAAAGAGTTAAACCAATTCTTAAAAAATGTCTTAATCAACTAATTAAATTTATGTTAATGGAATAAATTACATTAATAAAGCCTGTGAATGGTTCTGAGTCATTTAATTCCTGGAAAACCAATTTTTAGAACGATGGTTGACACCAAGTTAGATGTTAAAGGTAGTCCTCGATTTGCGACCACAATTGAGCCCAAAGTTTATGTTTCTAAGCGAGAGATTGAGTTTTTTCCCCATTTTACCAACTTTCTTGCCACAGCTGTTAAGTGAATCACTGCAGTTAAGAACATGGTTGTTAAGTGAACCCCATTGAGTTGTCAGAAGTTTGCAAAAGGGGATCACATGATCCCAGGGCACTGCAACTGTCATAAATATGAATCGTTGACAAATTTCTGAATGTTGCAGTGGTCATGTGAAAAACAGTCATTAGTCACGTTTTTCATTGCCTGTGTAACTTCAGTCATTTAAATGGTTATAAGTTGAGGACTACTTGCACTTAATGGTTTTTTGTCTTTCTTGCTACATCTGTGTGAAAGCACCCAAATCATGTAAGGACATCTTGTATAGTTATAACATTATTTTTCCTGTGAAAAACTACATTACTGTTTTGAATGCACAAAGGAACATGGGTTTATCAAAAACAGATCATGCCAGACAAACCTTGTTGCAAGTGACAAAATTAGTGGATAGGCAAAATCTGTGGATAAAATTTACTTGAACTTCAGTAAGGCATTTGATAAAGTTGACCACAACCTACTACTTGATAAGATAAAAAAAAATGTGGGTTAGATAGCATCACCATCCGACAGACTTGTAATTGCTGACGAACCACACTCAAGTGTATAGTCCCTAATGGAACTGCATCTAAATGGAGGGAAGTAGGCAATTGGGTATCCCAAGGCTCTGTTGTAGGCCCAGTACTCTCTTCAATATCTTTTATCAATTATTTAGATGAGGTATAGATGGGAAACTCATCAAATTTGCAGACGACACCAAGCTGGCAGGAATAGCCAACGCTCCAGAAGACAGGCTCAGGATACAGAAGGATGTCAACAGACATGAACACAGGGCCCTATCTAACAAAATGAAATTCAGCGTGGAGAAAAGTGAGGTTCTACATTTAGGCAAGAAAAGCCAAATGCACACAGGTATAGAATGGGTGATAACCTGGCTCAGTGGTAGTAAATGTGTGAGGGCTTCTTGGGAGTCCAAGTGGACAATCACCTAAATATGAGCCAGCCATGCACAGCAGCCACCAAAAAAGCCAGTACAATTAACAGGGATAGAATCAAGACCACACGAGGTGTTAATACTGCTTTACAAAGCTTTAATAAAATCAAACTTGTAATAATGCAGTTTTGGTTGCCACAACATATGTTGACTCTCTTAGAACAGGGGTGTCAAACCTGATCGCATCGTGGGCCGTATCATGACACAAATCGGGATTGTTTTCGTCCTTGCAGGGCTGGCGTGGGCTGTATCCAGCTCTGTGTTTGACACGCCTGCTCTGGAAAGTGCAGCGAAGAGCACAAAGAGCATTAGGGGACTGGAGGCTAAAACATATAAAGAACGGCTGCAGGAACTGGGTATGTCTAGTTTAACGAAAAGAAGGGCTAAGGGGAGACATGAGAGAGCAGTCTTCTAATATCTAAGAAGCTGCAACAAAAAAGGAGGAACTAAACCTATTCTCCAAAGCATCTGAAGGCAGGACAAGAAACAATGGATGGAAACATCAAGCGAAGAACCAACCTGGAATTGAGGAGAAAATTCCTGGCAAGGAGAACAATTGATGGAACAGCTTGGCTACAGAAGTTGTGGTTGCTTCATCACTGGAAGTTTTTAAAGAAAAGATTGGACAACATTTGTCTGAAAGGGTATAGGTTTCTTGCTTGAGCAGGGGGTTGGACTAGAAGATCTCCAGGATCCCTTTCATCTCTATTACTTCCTTATTCTTAATCTATTTAAAAGGCTATTTCAAAAAAAAACCAAGTTAACTCCAAAAACAAGCCAAGCTGTTCATGTATGAAATTCATCCATAATTCATCCGGGTTGATTACCGAATTTGTTAAGCCAAAGCTGAACTTGTGATTTACTCAGATAGTCCTTAAGACTGGTTGCATAGCATCACGTGGTTATGTGACTGCGTTTTACGATGGTTTTGCTGAAAACCAGCACTCACAGTTTTCAGCAAAACTATGCTACAGGAAGCAATGGTTTCATCTAAGGTCCACCACAAAAAAAAATAAAAAATAAAGTTGGATTGGTTGTATGATTGGCCTATTTAATGACTGTTATGACTTACAACTGTAGTGACCAGGCTCCATTACAGATATAATTTGAAGACTGTTAGGAAGTTTCTTCTTAATTCAAGGAAAGAAGCAACTAATGAGAAACTTCCTAAAGTGAGGACAACTAACCCGTGGAACATCTTGCCTTCAGAAGTTGTGGAGATTTTTAAGAACAGACCCGACAGCCACCTGTCTGAAATAGCATAGGGTCTCCTGCTTGAGCAGCGGGTTGGACTAGAAGACCTCCAAGGTCCCTCCCAGCTCTATTCTCATTGACTATCTCTAAACCACAGTTAAAGGATCAGTTCAACAGCATATTACGTGAGTGTAGTTACTTTGCCGAGTATTTCAAAGGCCTCCAGGGTAGGCAAGTTATCATTAGAGCTGCCCTGTGGCAAAGCCTGCCTGGTGAAAATACTTTGGTCACCCTCGAAGCCAAAACATACGCAGACAGGAACTAGATATGTTTAGTCTAATGAAAAGAAGGACTAGGAGCAACACGATAGCAGTCTTCCAATATTTGAGGGACTCCTAAAAAAGATAAGGGAGTGGGGTCAATCTGTTCTCCAAAGCACCTGAAGGCCAGACAAGAAACAATGCTTAGAAATTAACCAAGGAGACAAGCAACCTAAAACTAAGGAAAGATTCCCAGAAAGGGAAAACAATTAACCAGGGGAACAACTTGCCTCCAGAAGTGGATGCTCCAACACTAGAAGTTTTTAACGAGAGATTGGACAGCCATCTGTCTGAAAGGGTATAGGGCAGTGATGGCGAACCTTTTTTTGGCTCGCGTGCCATAAGTGGGGGGAGTGCAGGGGGGTCGTGCGCAAGTGTGCCACACCCATAATGCAACATGCAACCCCTTCAGTGCACATGCGTGCATGAGAGGCGCTCCCACCCCATTTTTTGCATGCTTTTTTCGCCCTCCCCAGGCTCCAGAGGCTTTATAGGAGCCTGGGGAGGGTGAAAACAGCCTCCCTCGTGCCCCCGGAGGCTTCAGGGACCTTCAGGAGACTTCCCTGAAACCTCTGAAGGACAAAAAACAGCCCTACAAGTAAACCGGAAGTCACTTCTAGTTTGCTCGTAGGGTCGGTTTAAGCCCTCCGGAGGCTTCAGGGAAGCCTCCTGAAAGTTCCTGAAGCCTCCGGAGGGCTTAAAGCGACCCTATGAGCAACCCGGAAGTCCGTTCCCAAACTTACGGTTTGCCCATAGGGCCGTTTTTTTGCACTCTTTTTTCCCTGAAGCCTCCGGAGGGGGGGCAAGGGGAGGCTCTTTTCACCCTCCCCAGGCTCCTATAAAGCCTATGGAGCCTGGGGAGGGTGAAAAATGGCTTTAAAAAAGGCTAAACTCAGCAGGCCACCGCGCACATGCTTGTTGGCCAGCTGACAGGGCAACGCCTCGTGTGCCCTGATAAATGGCTCCACGTGCCACCTGTGGTGCGCGTGCTATAGGTTCGCCATCCCAGTTATAGGGTCTCTTGATCGAGCAGGGGGCTGGAGGTCCCTTCCAACTCTATTATTTTATGCCAGGGGGTGTCCAAACCTGGGAACTGGCTGGGGAATTCTGGAAAATGAAGTCCACAAGTCTTAAAAGTTTCCAAGTTTGGACACCCCTGCTCTATGCAGAAGCAGGATCCTTATTTGAGAAGTCAAGCTTGCACCCAAGTCAGAGATATAGAAATATTTTATTTTTCTCTAGTATTAAAAAACAAAAACAAAACCCAGCTACTGTTAAGCTGCTTGCCGGAAGCCCCCCCGAGGCTGCTTCTTCAGCTGCCCTTGAGCAGGTCTTCATACTTCTCATCGTAGGAGCCCTTTCCTTGGACAAGAAGCAGGCAGGGCTTCTCCCCCAGCATCCCAACCACGGTCACTGTGGTTTCATAGTCCACACTGTCTCTGAAATGAGAGAAAGGCTAAGAAGCGAGTCCTCCCTTTCCTTTTAAAACTGTTTTATTTCATTTTCATTTTCATTTTATACAATCACTTATATACTGTGCATAANGTGGTGCTAGGGATTCGAACCGCTGAACTGCTGACTTTCTGACTGACATGCTCAGTCTCTTAGCCACTGAGCGGTACTAATACTGATTTTGTTTCTATGCCTCTATTTAAACCACCAAGGATTGTGCTAGCTTTTTTTGGCTGCCGCCACACACACACCGCTCATTTTTAAGTCCACCTTGATCTAACCTGCTGTGATCCTGAGCTGCCCAATGTCCCTTGAACAAGAACGTACCAGCATATTTTCTAAGGTGTAGAGCAGCAGGTGTGCTCCTCCTTCATCTCTTTCACTCTGAGATGTTTTCAGGCTGTGTTCAGGGTCCACGCCGGATATGGAGAAGGGAGTTGACAAAATAAGGTTGAAGGCCAGAGGGGTCTCTGTGTTATTGGTGAGTTTCACATTCAGAGTGGTGGCTGAATAGGTCAGCACCTGAAGGAGGGAGAAAAAAAAACAGAATCCGTTCACCCCATTGCGTTTCAGACGTGGGATTTCTAGGACAGATGCCCTTCCTTCACCTGGCCCCCTTGTAGGACTTCCAACACCCCAAATGAAGAGCCTAGTTGGCAGTAGTTAGAATGCAACATTACAGGCTACGTCTGCTGGTTGCTGACTGCCAGCAGTTCAGCAGTTCGATTCTCACGGGTTCAAGGTTGACCCAGCCTTCCATCCTTCTGAGGTGGGTAAAATGAAGACCCAAATTAATGGGGGCTGTAAAAAGCAGGAATTAGGGGCCAAGGGGGAGGGGATATAGTGTGTCAATGCATAGGAGCAAATGGTGAGTAGGGGTTTGCATAAA